TGTTTAATTGGATTTCTAGTATAAAAAACCTTGACCAGCTATCAAGTGGTTGGTTTCATTCAAACGAGACAACTCCGTTAATCCGTTTTCATTAGTTTTTGAAGAGTTATCCCCCTTTGTTTACTGGCTAGCAGACGACATTTTCAGTGATCCTCAGTATGGATGATTTAGAGAAGAGGAAGTTGATTTTAGAGTATTATAACAAGGACATCAGATCAGCTAAAGTGATTTCAAGTAGAACAGGCATCCGTTTGTCCACTGTTTATCGTGGTTTGAAAAATATTGCAAATGGATATGGCATTGAGCACCAGGGAGGCTCAGGTAGGCCCAGAAAATTGACTGTCGGTGACAGGAGGCGGCTTGGTATTCTTGTTTCTAAAAACAAACGAAGGAGTTTAGCAAACTTAAGGCTGGATATGATTGATAGAGGAGCTGTGGCTGTATGTAAGGAGACAATTAGAACTGAGCTGCATGCAATGGGTTGGCAGAAAAGTCGAGGAATTCCATCACCGATCATGAAACCTGAACAAAAGGAGCGAAGGTTGAACTGGTGCTTACAGCATAGAAATTTTAACTGGGACAATGTGATTTTCTCAGATGAAAGTTCTGTGTGGCTGTTTCCTAATACACTGAAATTCGAGACCAAACAAACTGAAAAACCTTGTATCAGCGCCAAGAGGTACAGTCCGAAATTTAACGTGTGGGGTGGCATATCTGTGTTAGGGGAAACGCACCTCTGTGTATTCTAGGGGAATATGAACATTGAGCGGTACACAGATTCTCGAGGGACATTTACTTCCATCTGCTCTCGTGTTCTATGGAAATGTTTGGATTTTCCAGCAGGACAACGACCCAAAACATCGTTCAAAGCATTCACAGGCCTGTTTTCGGACCCAAAATATCACATTATTAGATTGGCCAAGATATAGCCCTGACCTAAATCCAATGGAAACTGTTTGGGGACTTATGAAGGAAAGTGTAAATAAGAAAAATCTGACAAATATTGCTGAAATGAAATTGAGGTGGTCCGATATTGGGACAGCACGGACCACGACTTTCTAACTTCTTTGATAAGTAGTATGCCCAACCTCATTGAAGCCTACATTGCTGCCCATGGTGACTTGACAAAATACTAACTATTCACCTGTCTTTCAAGTAGAGGTTTTATGTTCTGCTAATATTCACATTTAATACGTGAGTATGTATCGTATAAGTCCTATCAATCTCTGAGTTTATATTCAACTAACTATATCTGTCAAAGTGATGGACCCGTGAAGATCCGGGGTAGAAAAGGTCTTCAGCAACCCACGGGATCGGGTGGTCAGTTTCGCTGACTTGGTTGACACATGTCATCGGTTCCCAATTGCGCAGATCGATGCTCATGCTGTTGATCACTGGTTTGTCTGGTCCAGACTCGATTATTTACAGACCGCCGCCATATAGCTGGAATATTGCTGAGTGCGGCGTAAAACTAAACTCACTCACTCACTGTCAAAGTTATGACATGGCTGCAATACAAATGAATTAACAGCAGCTTGACCGTTATGACTATGGTCAGCAGCGCAGTCACGTGTCGGTCAGTTAACTGTAATTAACCTCAGATAAAGACCGGCTAGCCATAAGGGTAGATTGTGTATGAGGTGCTGGGCACTGCAGGCTGTCTATACATGCACAGATATACGATACGGGAGTACCCGACAGTGAATTTCACTAAGAAAGTTTTGCGTTGGTCGGGACTTGACTGTTGGGCAGTGGCTGGGCAGGTTGGCTGGCAATCGGCTGGACGACCATTCCTGTTCCAGTATGTAGTGACACATATCAAAATTTCGAATACAGCTCGGCGCTCATGCTGTTTTCTTTGACTGCCATTCTAGATGTTGAGGAGATGAAGGATGAGGACACTTTTTTATGGATATACAACTTCTATATTCTGTACATCTCATGTATATATATATCACCCAAATTACTTTTCATGTACCACTTGCTTGACGACGACATTTGAATCTATGTTAAAACGTCGCCTATACAGAATAAAGAAGTAAAAAATTGTCCTCTTCTCTCATGCCGTTGATCACTGGATTGTCTGGTCCATCTCTCGATTACTTACAGACCGCCGCCACACAGCTGGAATATTGCTGAGTGCGGCGTAAAACTCACGAATACAGTGATGTGGACCAACTGACAGACTCCTGTCCTAAATAGACAGCTATCCAACGAAACACCATGGGAAATATGACAGAGATCATACCATTGACCTGCTTGTTCAAACTTATGACAAAGGTCATGTGATTGTTTTCGTTATGAAAGCGGTGATGGGAACATTTTACCTCAAAGTGGTGTTGACACAGTGTATCACAAACATCGAAACAGTGAGTGAGTGAGTTTAAGTTTTACACCGCACTCATCAATATTCCAGCTATATGGCGGCGGTCTGTAAATAATCGTGTCTGGGCCAGACAATCCAGTGATCAGCAGCATGAGCATCGATTGGGATACCATGACATACATGTGCCAACCAAGTCAGCGAGCCTGGCTACCCTATCCAAACACCGAACCAAACCAAGAGACAAACACGTTGGAATATTCTAAGAGTATATTCGTTTCAGCAACAGCAAAATGTTATTGAAACAACGATTTTCATTTTCATTCTATAATTATTTGTACCAAATTTACTGGTTTTAAATTTAATAAAGTCGAACAATATATTATTGTATATTTTCACCAGTGAATCAATTTTCGTCGTTTTGATCTTTGACCTCGGGTTGTGTAGGTTATCTTTTTTCAGCTCACTTTACTCAAAATGAGCTTGTTTTGGAACTGCTTGTCCCCTGATTTGTTAAAACACGTATGGGGCTGAAAAGGATCGACGTTTACGATGTCATCCGAATTCTATAACTATGCGGTAGGATCTCTGCCAAATGATTAGTCGGATATGGAATGATCTCCGGGACTTTCATCGACGTTTACGAGGCGAAGGTTCATGGCCTGCATCAATGCATAAGGTGAACATACTCGAACTTGTCATGGGAACACCGTCTTGTGTTTTGGCTCATTTGCATATGTCAGGTGCGCTGTTCTTATGGTCTGTTGAGCGTTACCATACCTAGGAACGTTTCCCTATCCATGTCATAACATTTCATTCGAAGTTTAACACTGCATCTGTTGTTGTTTGAGTGTCACAATAACGTTTGTCTTTTGAGGATATTTTGCAAATGGTTGCTGGGTCTATATTTATGAACGTGGATTGATGAAGCGGGTGCTGTCACGTCACGTTGTTGGCTATTAGCAGAAAACAAGCGTCAACACAAAACTGTTATTCACATTCAAAATAAACATTTTGCGTTTGTTATTGCCAGAATAACTACTTTGCTGGTATTTTGACTTAAACTCATCCATACTGTGATCAACATACTGTGATCAGGCAAATGAAGCAACCGTCGGTTGCGGAGAGTAGCTGGATGGGTAATTCTCATCGACTCCTGAGAGATCAGCATTTTGAAACACATTAAACATGATTGGTCTCCCTAGTAGGTAAATGACTTTGTTCAAGGTCCAGCAGGGAACGAATACCCGGTAGGTTAAAATGAGGACTTTTAACCTTCATCACCCCAGCGCCTACAGCTAATAAGGAAGCTTGAATTGTATACACAAATAGCAAAAAAGGAAAAAAACCCCAAAACCCACAGCAAGTTTCTCTTTTAAAAAATAAAACATGCTTGATCTCATTGCGGAATTGCTTTATTGTTCAGTGTACCTGGTGTCTTTCAGCTGGCTCTGAAAACACGGGTGTTTCAGTCCAACATGAAAAGGACATCGCTGATATTCAACGAACCATTCATATAATCTTCACCACTAGTTTGGCTTTGACGCACAATGGGATTTGTTTGGTCCGACCATCGAGACAGGTAGTTCTCTGGCGTTATATACTATTTACAAGTATTTACAAGCAGCGTGTCTTGATTAAGTCTGGGGCGATCTGGTAGTCGAGTGATAGAAGAATTGGCACATCGAGTCAAGTCGATTTCCAACAAGTGTTTGTGAAGCGTATATTTGGTGCCCAACTGTAACACTGGCGTCAAACCAACCAACTCACTCATTCATTCACGTGTATGCCAGCAAAGAAAGACAACCACAGATCCACATCTACCTTGTCGACTATTGAATGACGAGGACTCTTGATGTTCCCAAATCTAATTCCATTGATGATTACGACCTCTCTGGCGCATGATGTTTAACTCAAAGTCAAGGGTGCATACTTGTCTAAGGTGCTACACTTCACTGCGGACTTGTATTCCGTTGACCGTGATATTGGAGGTTCGAATCCCAGAGTCTCCTTAATTGTTTCTAGGTCTGTTAGCCAGTGTTGGTTTCGTCAACAAATATTTTCATATTTGTTATAGTTCAGTTATAGTTTCGATTATTTTTTTCAATATTTTAAGTACATTCCAAAAACTTTAAATGTTTTAATGTTGCTTCGATTATTTACACGTTATTCCACATAGTTTTTCGCAACTTTCAGCAACTTACCTTTGCTTGAAATATTTTCTGGCAATATTATGAAGTCATAATTTCGTAATTTCTGTTGTTGTTTTTTCGATTTCCCCAAACTCGAAATTCGAGTATTTTCTCGTTTATTTCTTGTGATTTCGATTATTTTGGCGTTTATTTCTCTGGATGTTGATTATTTTATCATTTATTTCTCGCGATGTCGATTATTTTCCCTCACGAACCTCCACTCAGTCATGTAATACAAACATAAACAGATGAGTGATACTGACAGCGAGGGTAGCCATGCTTAAGTACTGAGACAGCTGTCAACGTAGCAGTGGTTTTAGTTTTAAAAAGACACCCTGTTCCCCATAATGTTCGGGAAAATGCATTGTGCTTAACGTTCACAAGATTCTTTGTGCTTAATGCATACAAAATTCTTCCGTAGAAAGCTTTTTGATTAAGTTCGTGTACTTTTTCCAGTAAGCTAGAAATAACAATACTTGTTTGAATTTCAGCTAAGAATGCATTTTAATAAAGTCCATTTATATTGTTAAAGGTCTTAATCATTCAAAACAGGAAGAATAATAAAAAACCAGGATATAATCAAAGTTAATGCAATCTATGAACATTAATAGATAGAACCAATCAGATTCCATTCGCAACATCTGTGTGCCACGAGCTAATTTATGTTGATTGTATACAACAGTTTAAGGATTGTCTTACATAGTTCTTAACAAATGCTGCCTTAATGGCCACATCACGTTAGTGAGTGAGTATAGTTTAACTCCGCTTTTAGCAATATTCTTGCAATATCACGACGGGGATACCAGAAACGTTGTACCCATATGACGACTTCGGCGTAACGAGCGAACGCCTTAATCAATGTGCTACGCCACCTCCTCGCCACAGGAATAAATGTGACAATACATCACTATTGTATGAAGCCTCGTTGGATATTTGAGGGACTTTGATGTCTTCAAGGGAACTACACAACTACAGTAAACAAGGCCTAAATAAGAAAACGGAAGTAGTATTTCACCTTAATAGGACATTTGTCAGTGAAAGTTAACCATTTCATGACAAGCAAGAGTCGAAATGTATAGACTTTTCAAAAATGAAACGTGTGATTTAATAAATCGGCTGAGGAAAATATGAAGAATCGGCCCATCTCGCTGACCTTTGCTGAGGTACTACGTTGACCACAAGAGCCTCTGATTAGGAGAATACTTTCAGTTCACATAATTATGTCATGTCCAAGCTTCTCAATCTGGTCGAGAAAATAGTCCATGTCTTCAAACGTTGTCCCTGAACTCTGCAGCACCAACCGGAAGAAGTTGACATGCTCTTTCTGTGGCTGGTAGGTAATCATCATGGACCCTGTGCGGAGCATGCGCTCTTTGATTAGTGGCGCCACCTTGTGGAGTCGTGCACGGAATTCTGGGCCTTCCGGGACTTTCCTCAGTGATGGCGGGATGTACCAGAAGCAGACATTGGTCAGTTGTGGTCCTGAGACAACCAATTGAAAGCCTTCTCGCACTTTAAGTCTTTCTACAAAATACTTGGTGTTGTCGAACAGAGTGTTGACGTGTTGCTCCAAACCTTGTGTACCCTGGAAACAATACAATCATGAAGTAATGAACTAAAATACGTTAAAACACGGTTCTTGTTGTTACCTTGCCCTGACATATTGGGGTTAAAACAAGGACTGGATGGCTTTGAGTCATGATCAGTACTACTGTATCATGGTGGAGTAACCGTGTTAAACCGAAGCAAAGTCAGCTAACACACATGCATGACGCACGCACGCACGCACACACACACACGCACGCACGACACACACACATGCACAACACACACACGTTTTCACATCTGATGAAATCTTACATTTCGTACACGCATTGTCAGTCGTGAACACACGATATGTAAGTGCAATCCACTAAAGTAGTTTAAAGTACCCTGAAAAATAAGTGAAAGCTGCAGTTTGAGTCGAAAATAAATCATGTATAATAGCAGTTACTGTTTCCTCCAAATTACATATTGAAAACATCGATGTTTTAGTGGAACTTGAACCAATAACGCCACACACGTGTACACATGGAACTTACGACGCAACTTACGCAAGTCGGATTTCGCTGTCAGTATAGGAAAATCTACCGAGGTGTTTGACATCAGTTATTCGTGTATCCTCCACCTGCCATCCTCGATAATCTCCAGGGTATACGTTCCGATAAATCTCCACTATACCCTGGATACATCTACGGCTCGAGCCGATGATTTCATTACCTCCCTTGGTTGGCTTTTATCCAATCAGGTGTCTACGCTGGGAAGTCGAGCGTGCCAATCACAACCCACTTTCGCATTTTAAATTATCTAACCGATTAAACTTGGCAACACAATAATATATTGTTGCAGAGGTACTCTGAAAGAGGTAGAAGGAATTCTTGCATATCTGTTTTAAGATTTCTGACCTGTCAATTTGTCTGTATGTTTCCCCAAAAAATCTGAGTCGCACTGTGAACAAACTTTCGCGGCTGCGACCTCTATCTTTGTTGACACTGGCAAGCATGGTTGTAACGGCGGTTTATCTGATTGGCTACTGTGAGAATGCGGAGCCAGCAATGGGAGGTAATAAAACCATCGGCTCGAGCCGTACATGCATCCAGGGTATAGTATCGGAACGTATACCCTGGGGATTACCGAGGATGCCACCTACCTGACTGACAGCATCCCCATGCCACCAGTGAGCCGACGGATACGTCCCCGAGGCAACTGCCGCCAATCCTCATGCAATGATGTCTTCAATTCACTCACATTTTGTGAGGGAGGTACCCTTGCCTGCAAACCACGACCAAGAATGTCCCAGATGTGCTCGATGGGGTTCAGGTCAGGGCTCATTGCAGGCCAAGGGAGAGTTTCAGTAGCGCCATAACAGAGCCTCCACCAGTAGGGAACAGTAGGACACATGTTACTCGGTACATAGGTAGTGTTAATGTGCCTCCAACTCTCAGACGACCATCCGTAACATGAAGCAGGGACCTACTTTCGTCTGACCAATAGATCCGTCTCCAGGTCAGAAGGTTCCATAGCCATCGACCACACCACCACTGCAGACGTTGCCTTTGATGTCGATCAGTCAGAGTTGGACGCCTGAAGACTCTTCTTGACCACAAACCGACAGCCTTGAGACGGTTACGCACGGTCTTGGTTAACTAGGTTCCATAGCTTAATTAGGTTCCATATGTTGTCATTGCAAATCTGTCTCTAACCATACACAAGCCTGTCCCATCCAAACCACACACAAATCTGTCCCATCTAAACCACACACTAGCATGTCCATTCCAAACCACACACAAATCTGCCCCTTCCTAACCACACACAAATCTGCCCCTTCCTAACCACACACAAGCCTGTCCCTTCCAAACCACACACAAACCTGTCCCATCCAAACCACACACAAACATGTCACTTCTAAACCGCTCACATATCTGCCCTTTCCAAACCACACACAAACATGTCCCTTCCAAACCGCTCACAAACCTGTCCCTTCCAAACCACACACAAATCTGTCCACAAACACACACTAGCATGTCCCTTCCAACCCAAATCTGCCCCACACACAAATCTGTCCTTCCCAAACACACACAATCATGTCGCTCACATATATGCCCTTCCAAACTACCACACACAAACCAGTCCCTTCCAAACCACACACAAATCTGTCCCATTCAAACCACACACTAGCACACAAAATCTGTCCCTTCCAAACCACACATCTGCCCCTTCCTAACCAGTCCCATCCCAAACCACACACACAAACCCGTCCCTTCCAAACCACACACAAACCCGTCCCTTCCAAACCACACACAAACCCGTCCCTTCCAAACCACACACAAATCTGAGAAATAAGCACATAGGCATTGAAAACTTCACCAAAGCTATATATAACTTTCCATTTGAAAGCTCAAAATTCATCGTATCTGCCACAAGAAAGAGAAATAACTATTTATCCATGCAAAGCAGAACTTCTGGGTGGGGGGTGGGGGAGAGGAACAGTCTTTTCAAGGGAGATAAATTTAATATCAAAAGTGACTAAAGCGTTCATAAAATAGATTATTTTCCATATGCTGCTTAAAGCTGTTTGAAATGTTCTCTTGCATTGTTTTTCACTATTTATATTGTATTTGTACCATTTGTTTGTATTCATTCACTTTTATGTAAACCTTCTGTGAAAGGAGGTTTGTCAGACAAAACATGTACTTTGGGCTGGGGGCCTCTAATACTGTAATAAAAATCTTGACAAATCTGTCCCTTTCTGTAACTTAAGATTCTTAAGATGCTATTGCCTACCTTAGCTTTCCACATGAGCCAAAACTTGAAGACGTCGACCCTACGGCCACACTGGAACGTTTTGTCGCCAGTGTCGTAACTGACGTCGTAGCACTTATCGGGCTGGAAAAGGTAAGGCGCGTGGGCGCTGTGAGCCTCCTGCAGCACGCCCTTGTGTTTGGTGAGAAAGGTTGAACATTGCTGTGGAGCGCCTAGAAGTTTATGAGGGTTCCAAGTGACTGAATCTGCGCGATCCACGCCTTCCATCAACCCACGATGACGTCGGGACATGAGGACGCCACCTCCCCAAGCACCATCCACGTGAAGCCATAAACCATTAGCGACACACACATCGGCGATGTCGTTGATGGGGTCGAAGGCGCCAAACACTGTTGTTCCTGCTGTGGCCACAACTAAGAACGGACGTGCACCCTGGAATAGTTTAGATCCCAGTGGTGACAATGAACCATACCGATTACCCTCAGAACACAGGAGTGAAGAAGTAACGTTTTACAACGCTTTTTACTATATGTCATCCCCAAATAGTAGAGGATCGTGAAAAACGAACTTAACGAACGCCATTGATAGAAACCTAACGTCAAAACACATCCCAAACACTGGACATGGGCACCAAAGTTCCTCTCCGAACGACACTGCATATTGTCCAAGGAGGGTATAACAGACATTTCTACAGAGACAATATACTGGTGCCAAAGTTAAAGCCCTCTGCACACTATGTTGACCCATGTTTTGTCTTTCAAGACCGTAACGCTCGTACCCACCATACGTCTGTGTTATGTGTCAGCGTTGTTGATTTATTGCGTAAAACTGTTCCATGTGTAAAACATTGTTTATGTGGATAGTCAGTGATGTGCAGTGGTGTGCTATATTTACTTCTGGAAGGTACTACTGGGTACTACAACCCTTTGGGCCTTTCCACTATATTCTACCCATGAAGGTCCGGGTTAGAATGTGCCTTCAGTAACCCATGCTTCTCGTAAGAGGCGACTAACGGGATCGGGTGGTCAGGCTCGCTGACTTGGTTGACATATGTCATCGGTTCCCAATTGCGGAGATCGATGCTCATGCTGTTGATCACTGGATTGTGTGGTCCAGACTCGATTATTTACAGACCGCCGCCATATAGCTAGAATATTGCTGAGTGCGGCGTAAAACTAAAGTCACTCACTCACTATATTCTAATCCTGGGAGTCTTTCATCTTCTTTGGTATATAAGGAAGCTAACTCTTGATCTGAAAATGGTCATAGACGTAATGGTTCTCAAGTTATTTTGATAGATCCAGCTGGTAACTCATTGAAACACAAAATAGTATTATGTGTAAGCATGGTATTTCTGAGTGTTCGGATTTCTTGTTAGGACCAAGCAACAACAAGTCGTACCTGATTTTTCGTCTCCTCAATCTGGGCTTCGAGGTCCTCAGGAATCATCCGACCTTGAGGGTCGGTCTTGACCAGTCTGACGTTATCCTTCCCGAATCCGAGAAGACATCCCGCTTTAGTGATGGAGAAATGGGCCAGCTCAGACGCGTACAACACCAACTGTGGCAGCCCGAACAGACCCCGTTTCTTTGTCTCGGGGAACGCCATCTGTCGGGCGCAGCTCAACGCCATGATGTTGGCAATGGATCCACCAGGAGCAAAGATACCGTCCCCGCCCTCGTAGCCAATCAGTTGTCTCATCTTCGCCAACACCGCCAGTTCCATGACGGTAAAGACGGGAGCGACTTCGTAGGTGTAGAGACTGCAGTTGAGAGCGTCCGTCACGAGTTGACCAGCAAGACCATATGGGTCCAGACTGGAGTAGAGCTGGTTGACGAAATGAGGGTGGCCGGTTCGGACGCTATATTTGATAACATCCTTGACCCTGCCCAACAGGTGTTCATGGCTCTCGCTCATAGGCTGAGGCTCCAGGTCCATCTTGGCTGATAACTCTTCAGGAGCCATCCATTCGTTGACCTTGCCCTCTCGATCTCCGGCCTTTTGGACAATGTCCTCCATGATGACCTTGAAGATGTCACGCAGGAAGTCCTCGTGCCCGGCAGGCTGGGTGCGGAACGTCGTGTTGTTATTGGACGACACTGCAAGGTGTAAAGGATCTGTCCTACGCAAGTCCAAGAAGTCCAACCTCTTCTTCACGTCGCAGCAATTACCATTGTACTCCCCGTACAATGTCTTCCCTGGATCTTAAACAAAAAGTAAAGCTGCAAACAGAAACATAGAGCTACCAGTTTACAGTATATGGATGCCCATTTACTTCTCCTTTTCTGGTTATACAGAACATGTGATCACTGGACCAAACATTTTAATTGTTTTTTTTTATCTGTTCAAATTAATTCACTTTATCAGAAACGAGGTAACTTCATCAGTGACAATATAAATCCTTAAAGCATGAGCACTTCCAGTTTTGAATCTGTCAGTTCAGAAAACAAGCTTTAAGCTTAGGTATTAGGTCTTGAAACTAAAATGACTAACCAAAAGAGATATTTTGATATTTATCAGGACACAACAGTCAACATTACCACTCACTGCACACATAAAACTAACCTCTGCTAACTCCCCAGTGCCGGTGCAACTTGACAGATGAAATTATTTGCAAAAGCGTCATGTAGGCCAGTCACATATGAGAACATAGCCTCCCGGTTAAACTGTCACACATGGATCTATAGTCATCACATGTACAATTGCCATATATACATACTAGGTAAATGTGAGGTTTTATGTAGCATTTTAATTTTACATTAGCCTTATCATGACAATTCTGTTTAGGATTCCAGACTGATGACAACATTGTTGTGCATATCATATCGTTTCATGAAATTAACAATGTTATGTTTTAAGAATATGAACATTATAACATATAAATCATCACACCGATCCTGATACACGGTTTCTTTCATTTTGCCACTGTCAGAATATTAAGCGTCTCCATGTATAGACTGAACAAGATACGCGTTGTCATTTCGTGATCTCACAAGCGGGTTAGATTAGATTAGAATATTTAGATTCTTCAGACCTATCTATCTGCAGAAAGTTCCACTTATATTATGTTTGTTAGGACTTCTTCATCTGACACCCTTTGAGAAATAAAACTTCAATAAATACTTTCAATAACTGATTGTCTCATTTAAAGAAAAAAAAATCCTGATCTGATATTAATTTGTTTCCTCATCCTCATCGTCTTTACACACGATGCATTAGATATCAGTTTGTAAAAATCTTCTCACATCCTTGTCTGCTTTCTCTTTTTGGTGATGAAACTGATATTGATCTTGTAGACATTGTTCAAATTTCAAAACTCCGTGAACTTTGGTCAGTCTCGTGCATAGAGACAGAAAACATAAATTAATTCTGACACTTGAGCTTTTTGCACAGGGAGTAAATGACCTAGTTTAACATCTAGGTTACAATTTGAATTTGCGTAGCTTAGGTGCAGCATAATCAGAAATATCATCATACTGTATGTGTGTAGAAAGTTTCGAAGATATTAGTACAATTCAGGTTATCTTCATTAGATACGTCAAGAAGCCTAAACACGTGTCTGGATATGATGTTTCAAGGAACCATATATGAATCTCATTGTTGCCATGTATACACTGTGACATGGTGGCAATATATGCTACACCACACCCTAACGGGGAAGATTTTTATATTTTCTGTGTACTCTGGAAACAGAACATTTTACATTTCTGCAAATGTATGGCGTACATAATGATGTTGTCCTCCGTCGGAAAACTTTGAACATGAACATTCTTTCCAAAGCGAATATACAGTACATAATGTTAAGTATGAATATTTAAATGAAATCCCACCATTGTTTGGTCGATCTGAGCCGACAGCCTCTGTTTCCATCCTAGAGATACAATGTCAACGGCACAACGTACCCCTCTAAGTGAGATGAACTGATGGACGTGGCGCTTGTGTTTCTTTCCTCCCGAACAAGCTGAAAGCCACACGTATGTACAGAACGGTTTGGTCTATTTCATCTCGCTTGACGCTAGAGCTGCGTTGACTGAAATTAATAAATACAAATAATCATTTCAATGTTTGTGAATACATTACTGCGTTACTCGCCTTACCGTTGCTGGTACTGAATGACAACCGTCGATGGTCTGGATATAGCCATGTAGAACTACAGCTTCAGCTAAAAAATGTCTACGCCTTTTTGTCTGGCCTGTATAAATATAAGTGCATCTAACTGTGATATAAAACGACCATATATTCCACTGTGTGCGTTTAATCTTATAGCGGTGGTGAACCATCTGCGTGAGAGCAATATCAACAATGTTCAGCATTTAGTCAGTATGGACGTCTGTAAATGAATAAGTCTGAGTCAGACAACCCTGTGATTGGCAGCATGAACATAGATTTCCCCAATATAAAGACATGGTTAGTGCATTGTGGTCAGGTTAGTTTGGTGGCTTGAACAGATGATAATGAGCGTTTGACGTACTTTAACAGATCAGATCAATCCTTAGTTTCACTAACGCTGTCTTTATATGAAGCAAAAGCTTTTGGAAATTTAACAAATTCAATACCACACGATCCAAAGTATATATAAATGGTAAACGATACCGTAAGATTTTCATTAGAAAAAGAGAAAAAAATAACTTCTACACACAGAAAATATGCTACATGTATAACTAACATGTTAATATTAAAAATCAGAGGATCAACAATTCATCAACGAAAAAGACAAAAACGATACAAATCAAAGAAATCAAGTGTAAAACATGTATCTTTCAAATGCAAAAATAATTGAAGATAATGCCTTAGGGCCCCTAGAAAGATGAAAAATGACAATAACCTTTGATCAGATGGATGTCATCTCTCGCAAGATGACATCAAGATAACTTAAGCGCCCTCGTACTTTAACTATAATAGGTCAGGGCATAAGTGTTACTTATTACAATATACTTGGGGTTAGCGCGAACTGTACTTCTTAAATAATGTTAACAGTGTTGCAGAATGTTGATGGTCACAGATCTTTGGTGGTGAAGGTTGGTTGTGTGCTACAGAGAGAGGCTGTTGCCGAATTGTTGCTGGTCACAGATCGATGGTAGTGAAGGTTGCTTGAGTGTTACAGAGAGACGCTGTTGCCGAATTGTTGATGGTCACAGATCGTTGGTAGTGATGGTTGCTTCAGTGTTACAGAGAGACGCTGTTGCCGAATTGTTGCTGGTCAAAGATCGTTGGTAGTGAAGGTAGCTTGAGTGTTACAGAGAGACGCTGTTGCCGAATTGTTGCTGGTCAAAGATCGTTGGAAGTGAAGGATGCTTGAGTGTTACAGAGAGACGCTGTTGCCGAATTGTTGCTGGTCACAGATCGTTGGTAGTGATGGTTGCTTGAGTGTTACAGAGAGAGGCTGTTGACGAATTGTTGCTGGTCAAAGATCTTTGGTAGTGAAGGTTGCTTGAGTGTTACAGAGAGACGCTGTTGTCGAATTGTTGATGGTCACAGATCGTTGGTAGTGAAGGTTGCTTGGGTGTTACAGAGAGACGCTGTTGCCGAATTGTTGATGGTCACAGATCGTTGGTAGTGAAGGTTGCTTGAGTGTTACAGAGAGACGCTGTTGCCGAATTGTTGCTGGTCACAGATCGTTGGTAGTGAAGGTAGCTTGAGTGTTACAGAGAGACGCTGTTGCCGAATTGTTGCTGGTCACAGATCGTTGGTAGTGAAGGATGCTTGGGTGTTACAGAGAGACGCTGTTGCCGAATTGTTGCTGGTCACAGATCGTTGGTAGTGATGGTTGCTTGGGTGTTACAGAGAGACGCTGTTGCCGAATTGTTGCTGGTCACAGATCGTTGGTAGTGAAGGTTGCTTGAGTGTTACAGAGAGACGCTGTTGCCGAATTGTTGATGGTCACAGATCGTTGGTAGTGAAGGTTGCTTGGGTGTTACAGAGAGAGGCTGTTGCCGAATTGTTGATGGTCACAGACCGTTGGTAGTGAATGTTGCTTGAGTGTTACAGAGACGCTGTTGCCGAATTGTTGATGGTCACAGACCGTTGGTAGTGAATGTTGCTTGAGTGTTACAGAGAGACGCTGTTGCCGAATTGTTGCTGGTCACAGATCGTTGGTAGTGATGATTGCTTGAGTGTTACAGAGAGAGGCTGTTGCCGAATTGTTGATGGTCAAAGATCGTTGGTAGTGAAGGTTGCTTGAGTGTTACAGAGAGACGCTGTTGCCGAATTGTTGATGGTCACAGATCGTTGGTAGTGAAGGTTGCTTGAGTGTTACAGAGAGACGCTGTTGCCGAATTGTTGATGGTCACAGATCGTTGGTAGTGAAGGTTGCTTGAGTGTTACAGAGAGACGCTGTTGCCGAATTGTTGATGGTCACAGATCGTTGGTGGTGAAGGTTGCTTGAGTGTAACAGAGAGAGGATGTTGCCGAATTGTTGATGGTCACAGATCGTTGGTAGTGAATGTTGCTTGAGTGTTACAGAGAGACGGTGTTGGTAACATGTTCATGACATGTCTTGACGACGAGTTGTTTCATATTAATGTACCAAAAAAAGCCGAAATTAAGCAACCGGTTGACTCTCGTAGAAAATATGTTAGGCAGACTAGATCGTAGTCTGTCTCACAGTCCATGAACCATATTATTCCCCTACAGCCTTGCCTTACCTACAATGCTAAAGCCCTAAATGAGGCAAGTCTAGATTTCCCTATTTCAAGGGCTCCTTGTCAGTTTAAATGGGTTTATTTGTTACAATCAAAATGATATATATTCAGAGACTAAGCGTTAGTCTAACAAGATCGAGGCTATGAAACGACAAACAAAGGATTTTGACTGTACTCACCATGTCCAAATGTTGAATGCAACAATGTTCTAATAAGTCCAATCACGCACATGACTGGTTACACGGTCGCGGAAATCCCGATCAGCATTCACAAATATGCAAAACAGTTTCAACGAGTTGTTCATTAAACACACAACATAGTCCATCCTAGCTCCATTTGTGTCTGAAACCTGCACGTGGCATACTAATACTTTTACTTTATGCCCATCGAAACGCCATATTCAATTCGCGTTGAATAATCAGTAAACGATATCAAATTATCCCTTTTCATTGTCAACGCTATGTCAGCCAATATGTAACTGTCTGAAACTTGTGAGTGAGTTTAGTTTTACGCCGCTTTTAACAATATTCCAGCAATATCACGGCGGGGGAAACCAGAAACGGGCTACTGTTAGCAGAGACTTCTTATTGATGTGAAATTTTTTCCGATTTCCTGTTGTAATACACAGAAGTAATTCCCCAATCAGAAATTTGACTATTGAAAGGATAATCGTTTGACTGTTCAAAATGGTTCATTAAGTTCATTCGGGTTAAAGCACCCCTTAACATATTTTAAGTTAGTGACTTACCTAATGATAAATCTTGAATTGTAACGATGACTACTATTTTTTACTGTTTTCCCTTTCAATATTGTTTAGGAGTTTTGCTAAATCAATAGTCAAAACACATCCCGGCGGAAGCCATTGAAATCCGCCGCCACAAACCTTTGATCAACCGTGACCAAGGATACTACATCCCATCAGCCTATGCAAAACTAATCAAGCTATAGACCATCAATAGCACCCTGTCTGGTTGTTGTTACTACTTAATCCCCCTGTTTATTGGCTTCATCACTAGTGCCATTTGTTGTTTTTAGTTCCTACTGGCCTCTTCCAAATATGTACCACTTGTTATTTCTATTACATGCTGTTGTTAATGTTAATCTACTGCTTGTCACAACATACCATGTATATATGCTCCTCGCCATTTGGATGTACTCACTTTTAGCTTGATAACGATGTAAGAATCTACATCGAAACGTCGCTCAACGCAAATAAACCAGAAGTTGTCATCCATAGAGTTGTATGTTTCATTCGTTGACTCGCCAACTTCTAGAATGCTGATCAAACAACTCCATAGTTGTACAGGGATACATTTTGTTGACAAAACATCGTCATTTTGTAAATTACAATATTGCAAATTTTCATGATTTTGTTATTATTGTTTAGTCCAAAATGTCGGTTCTTCCAACTTGGGTGTCCCATCACCATTTTTGCATGAGGTCAGTCAGTGAGCTTAGCCTTTGATACGACTGACTGACAGACTGAGTTTGGTTTTACGCCGCTTTTAGCAATATTCCAGCAACATCACGGCGGGGGACACCAGAAATGGGCTTCACACATTGTACCCATGTGAGGATTCGAACCCGGGTCTTCGGCGTGACGAGCCAACGCTTTAACCAGTAGGCTACCCCACCGCCCCCCTTTGATACGTAGTGGGCTTCACCAGAGAGCGTTGGTGAGTTGATACAGACGTGGCACCATCGCTGCAGGACTCACACCTGTTCTGGAGTTTATACCACTATGATTATTGCACGTTATCAATTCCCTTGAACTCAATATCTTTTATTATTACAGAAACAACCGTGACTTGTGTGATATGGTTTTTTATGCATTTGTGATGCTGGTAGGTGTAAACAGATACATGAACCAGTTGTTTCCATGATGCTTTTTAGTGTAGTGTTTCTGATTTATGTCTTCTCCATTATTTACAAACTAATGCCATATGTATGAGCGGGTTGCACAATTCAGACTATATCGTATACTTCGCTCTACCACCATGTATGGTGTAATAAAACACACTTTTGCCCTGAACTATTATAGTTAAAGCACGAGGAACTGTATTTCTTTTCTAAGGTGCTAAATTTAATACTTTCTAAGGATAATTACGATTAATTTAAGGCAGAAAACAAACGACGGTGTCGGCGACCTAAATTAAGAATCCTCACACAGGGCTAACTGGCGCGCTGTTCTATTGATGTGTCTGCCCCCTACATTAAGACGAACGTTACCAGAAAAAAACCTAAATGATAACAGTTTGATGACGGTTTACGTTCGGATTAAATATCTTCTCTGAATTATTTTAATTACAACTGTCATTAACGTAAACCATATGGGGCAATATGAACGTTGCATTTCTACTACCAACGTAAGTTTAGATCAGTACATCCAGATGAAGTTGAGTAGTCAAGCGACATTC